GTATTAACAACGAGCCCGGATTAGCGTACACCTGTCTTTCGTGGAGTAGAACTTACCTGATTCAAGTGGATTCACTCTAACTCTTTTATTAGCCGAAAGTGTGAGTCAGTGGCGTCCAATGTGTGTAATATGAACTGCTAGTACCTGCTAGCCTTCAAACTATGGTACTTTTAAGGCACAATGTCAGTAGCAAAAATTGAACTTTTTTAGTATATTTTAGTATTTTTACTATGCCTCCGTCTGATTTCGGTAATTCCAAATAAAATTCTAGCCTTTTTTAGATAAAGTTTATTTATGAAATATGTTAATTAAAGTTAAAAAAAACAAGAAAGGAAGCTAGCTTTGGCAAGCCGAAGCTTATATACCCTTGCAGTTACTAAATATGTCGAACAAAATACATAAAAGCTAAAGAGCATCGAAGCTATGAGGATTTTTCTATTAATTTTCCATATTGTTCATATGACAGCTATATAATATAGTCGTCCGATTTTAATGAAATTTAATTTGTAACTCAAAACTCATTAGAAAACTCTATATTCCAAAAATCATTATTGTCTGATGAAAAACAACGAGGTTATAATTATATTTCCGTTATTTCTATATAGATTTTTCGATCTTTCCTATGGCAGCTCTATGATATAGTACTCCGATTTTTATGAAATTTTTTTCTCAACTTAAGAGTATTTAAAAAACTTTATGTTCCAAAAATCATGCTCGTGGCATTAAAAACAACGACATTATAATTTTTTTTCCATTATTTATATATATATATTTTGATCTCTCCTATGGCAGCTATATGATAGAGTTATCCGATTTTGATAAAATTTAATCCGAAATTCAATAGCAGTTAGAAAACGCCATCTAGAAGGAATCAAGTCGATCTGATCAAAAACAACGGAGTAAGAATTTTTTATTTCATTTTCTTGTATGGGAGGTATCCGATATAGTCGGCCGATCCGGCTCGTTCCGACCTATATACTGCGTGCAACAACTACACAACTTTTGGGAAAGTTTCAGCAAGATAGCTTTAAAACTGAGAGACTAGTTTACATAGAAACCGACAGGAGGACAGACAGACAGACGGACAGACGGACAGACGGACAGACGGACAGACGTACATACATATTTCGATTCAGATGGTGATGCTGATCAAGAATATATATACTTTATGGGGTCTGAGGTGTCTCCTTCACTGCGTTGCAAACTTCTGACTGAAATTATAATACCCTTTGCTCTGCAAGGGTATAATAAAAGTAAAACAAAATTTTTTATAAAAAATTTTTTTTTTTAAATTAAAAAAAAAAATAAAAGAAAACTAAAAAAAAATCATAGAATTTTTTAGGTTAAAAAAAATTTTTTTTTTAACCTAAAAAATTCAATGATTTTTCTCTAATCAGTGAAAAAAAAACCGACTGAAGACATCTATTTTAGTTTAGAAGTTATTAATTAAATGCCGCTAGCGAGACCAAATCGCCCACTGTGCAGCGGGCGTATGTGTCCTCGAGTCTCGCGTAGAATGCATCCTTTACAGCATCGTCCTTCTCCTCCGTCGGGGCGTGCGCGCAAATTATGTTAAGATTGAAAAATCTAGCTTTGACGCGGATTGTAGCCCGCCGTTCACTCACTGGGGTGAAGTTAAAGACGTGGTGGCGAAGTCTCCGGCTTACTACAAATCCGCATACAAATGCGGAGGCATGGCAGCTGTAGTAGAAATCGCAGTTTGCTCGCTTGAAGCAATCTTGTCCTGTCCATCTCATTTCCTGGATGGCGGTATTGTCAACCTTTAATTTTTCGAGGTCATCCGCCAGTAGGATAGAGGCACCTTCCCAATCGTAGTCCTTTTGCATTTTGCGGCAGTCGTCAACATCAACAAGGGGGGATCTTATCCGAGGCTTTTGCTTTGGTCTTCACTGGGCTTCTTTTTACGAGGCGGGTTTCAAACCCTGCGCTCAACCGTTTAACGTCAGGGTGACTCGCTGCACACATTAGCTAACTATCTAGCGGATGCTAAGATAACTACCCAGGAGGCGCCACGAGGAGGCTGTGTGTCAACTTGCAATCATTCGAAAACAGAGATCGCTCTGGCGGCCACCAGGTTGACTGCGATCAGAAAACTTTATCCTGTACGAATAAAAGCTATCCCATCCCAATCGCAGAAAATGTTCGTGTTAAATTTAAATATTATATATTTTTTGCTTTTAAATTGATATTTACATAGTCTATAATAACCCCCATTCGCCTTTTCCATGCCATAGTCGCTGTAATTGCGAGGGTATCTCTGCGCCATGGTGAGACCATGGGTTTCCTTAGGAAGTTTCCTTTCAGCATTCTTTCACTATTATTTTACGCAAACATTGTAGCGCAGCCTATGCAACAGCTCACAGTCCATTTTAGTCCTTTCAAAATCGTACATTAGCCTAAGGGGACTCTATCCGTAATAAATACTACCCCAGATTAGAAAACTTTCCTACAATTGCTCAATTCTTATACCGTTGCAGAGCAAAGGTCAGTCAGAAGTTTGCAACGCAGTGAAGGAGACACCTCAGAAGCCATACAAAATATATGTTCTTGATCAGTATGACGATCTGAATCGTCCGTACGACTGTCCGTCTGTCCGCTTCTATGTAAACTATTCTCTCAGTTTTAAAGCTATCTTTCTAAGACTTTACCAAAAGTTGTATAGTTGTTGCACGCAGCTTACGAGGTGTGTCCAAAAAGTATCGCGGGTTACCTCGTATCGAATTTCGATTTTTTTGTGGCGTTATGTTGGTACTAATGTCTCTCAATTATGCCGACAAGCTCGGCCATTTTGAATGTTCACTTAATTGTTGACAGCTGCTTTGCTTGCACGTGTTTTTGATTGTCTTTGATTTTTACCTATTCAAAAAAATGGATCAAAGAACCTATATCGAAGAAGCTACCTTGGACCCAAGCAACGTTTATCGGTGGTACAAAATGTTCTCAGAAGGCCAAAATAAGTGAACGACGAAGAGCGTGCCGGACGCCCGAGCACTTCAACAACAGACGAAAAAATTAATGAAGTGGAGAAAATGGTATTGGCCAATCCTCGAATCACCGTTAGAGAAGTTGCCATTCGATTTTTATCAATGATTTAGGCATGAGACGTGTCGCCGCGAAATTCGTACCAAAATTGCTCAATTGTGACCAAAAACAGCATCGCATGAACATTGCTAATGAGATGTTAAACTCTGTCCGCGAGGACCCAAATTTACTTCAGAGGGTTTATGGTTACGACGTGGAAACCAAAGCTCAATCATCTCAATGGAAGCTGCCGCACGAACCAAGACCGAAAAAAAGCCCGCCAAGTTCGGTCAAATGTAAAAGTTTGAGTTCTTGCCACAGGGAAGAAGGTCAATAAGGAAAATGTAAGTTATACGCAATTTGCGCGAAGCAATCCGCCAGAAACGCCCGGGTTTGTGGAAGAACAAAAATTGGCTATTGCACCACGATAACGCCCCTGCTCACACATCGTTGCTTGTGCGCGACTTTTGGCCAAAAACAACACACTAATGATGCCGCAGCCCCCGTATTCCCCAGATCTGCCCCCCTGTGGTTTTATCTTGTTTCCTAAACTGAAGAGGCCCATGAAAGGACGACGTTACGCTACGCTTGACAAGATAAAGACGGCATCGAAGAAGGAGCTGAACAAAATAAAAAAGTGATTTTTTGAAGTGCTTCGAAGATTGGAAAACCCGTTTGCACAAGTGCATAATATCTCATGGGGATTACTTTGAAGGGTCAAAATAGATATTCATGAATAAAAAAATAGTTTTTTGAACACACCTCGTATAAGTCGGAACTGGCCGAATCTCCCATACGAGAGATTAAAAAAAATTATCACGCCGTTGTTTTTGCACATATCGACTAGATTTCTTCCAGACGGTGTTTTTTGACTACTATCGAATTTCGAATTAAATTTTATTTAAGTCGGATACCTCTATCATATAGCTGCCATAAGAAAGATCGATAAATATACCTATGTAGAGAAAGTGGCAAAAAAATGATATTATCATTGTTTTCCATCAGTCAAGCATAATTTTAGAATATAGTGTGAGTCTTGAATTTCGAATTAAATTTCATAAAAATCGAACAACTATATATAGCTGTAATATGAACAATCATCATGAACAAAGTATAGGAACTTAATAGAAAAATTGACATAGTTTCCATGTGGTTTAGCTTTAATGTATTTTATTCGACATATCGACGCATTTCCGCAAATGTATCGTATGTTGAAAAATTTAATTTTACAGGAGAAGCTTTTTTTATTTAATCTCTTAGGAGCACTGTTACATATGTACGATTAAATTGAAACTTAATTTTTATCGGAACTATAGTGTTTTCAGTATTAATATTTCACAGGGTAGTGAGAAATTAGGTGCCTAACAATTTTGCATTAAAATTTAGCGGAAATGAGTCGATATAGTATTTGATGACTGCAAGGGCATTTAAGCTTTGGCTCGCCAAATCTAGCTTCCTTTCTTGTTCTTTATAAGACCAACGTGACAATTTGCTTTGCTTTGTTTTAGAGCTGTGGAGTTAATCTTGAGCAATTTGGATTTGTTCATCCACAAAATGAGGGAAGTCAACCTTGGGCTCCGTTAACAGTAAAAACTGGATTTCTTTTTGTTTTTTGGATAACTTCACGTCAGTACTTTAAAGAAAAAGCAGAAGATCGAACACAGAGTGACCTTCTCAAACAAATTTTTGGACCACAACACTCACGCTCAGAGCATCTTATTTTTGAAAGGTCCCAGGCACCTCAACTTATAATATTTATTTTGAAAAGTGCTTCCAATTTCGTTACACGGATTTGGATGTGGCTGCTAATATTTTTAATTTTCTTATGTGCCATGATTGATAAAGCCATGACCGGATTTAGAATATGCTACATGTCACTTTTTTTACTTTTTTTAATGGTTTTTCAGATGTCGTTGCAACTTTGGATAAAATTTCTTTATGGATACTGGATTTTTCTTATTTTTTTATGCAATGACTATATTGACTGTTATTTATACATACCAATTCGATAACTTTGACATCTACTGGGAACAATTTTTAAAAGTGGAGCCAACGCTGTAAGTTCAAGCATAGTTTCGATGGATTTAATTTAACATCCGCTTGTTTGAGTAGTTGCAGCCTAACAACTTTGTCACCTGCCTTTCAACATGTTAATTTTTTTAATATTTTTCGCGTCCTTATGCTTATAACAAAGAAAAGAAGTTGAAACCCGAAAGAACACTGTAGAATGTAGAAAGCCTTGACTAAGATATCCGTTACTCAGATAAACAATATCAATGTGGCATCCCATCTTTTGAATCGCAAGGTCGCCCTCAAGGCTGGTAGCGTGCCAAATTTTTTTTTTGAAAATTTTTATATTTATTAGCAAAATCCAAATAAATAAGGAAAACTTATGAGTCAATAAACTCTGGGCACCAACGAGCTTCGCGGTTTATAGGAGTAATAGTGGGTGATGCCCTTTTCGTAAAACTCCTTTCGTTGCTTATTCACCATTGGAGTCCGCATGCTTGAATGTTCTTACACTGCTGGTCTTGGGTTAGACGCACTCAGTTTTTCAAACAAATTTGTTTTATATTTATTATTTTAATGATTAAATAATACTTCAATTCAATACTCAAAATATTATATAAATATAACTGTTCAGAGGAATGCAACTAATTTGTTGCTACCGCTTTGTGCACTTTCAAAAAAAGGCCAATGTTTGTGATTTAAATGAGATGTGGTTTTATATTTGTGTCTCTGAGTGTTATTTGTTTGTTCTTGTGTACAATGTTTGTGTGTTTTGCGTATACAAGATCGCGACCGACAACTTGCTTGCGAGGGTTTTGCGAGATCGAACGAAAAGTATGTAAATCGGTTAAGAGTTGCGAAAAGAAGCAGATGATAAAGAAGATAGATAAAACAAGATAAGCAAAGTTAGGCGCGATTGCAATTATGCGGGTGTTGGTAAACAACTTTACGTTTACGTTACGTTACTTTACATTAGCAGTTGGACATTTGAATTTAGGGTAGAATTTACAAATTAGGGGTTCTGCTCCGAACATGCTCCCCCGCTGGAAGAGTCACGCTGACAGAAGAGGTGGTCTCAAAGGGCAGAACGGCCATCTTGCCAACAGCTCTTCGGATGATGCCTGCAGCTGTTCGAATAACTGCAACACGGGCCACGCCATCTGGTCCAAGTACGATGAATCCGAACGTAAAAATGGAGGTCCCTCTCGCCACAGGTTCGACTCCAAGAGCTCGAGAGGTGAACATCCACGCGATAATATATCGGCAGGGTTCCAGTGTGTGGGTACATGACGCCATGTCATGGTCTTGGTGCGATCCTGAATCTGCGCAATTCTGTTGGATACAAAGATATTAAAATCTGATGGAGGTTTACGAATCCAAGAAAGCGTTATGGTTGAATCAGTCCAACAATAAAAATTGCAATCAGATGAAATGGTTAGGGCAATGTTTGAGATGAGCTCTGATAATAATAGCGCTGCGCATAATTCCAATTTGGGTATGGTGAGGGTTTTTAGAGGCGAAACTCTAGATTTGGAACAGAGTAAATGAGTTGAGACACAGCCATGCACCTCAGATCTGACGTAAACGCAGGCGCCATATGCTGCTAAGCTTGCATCACAAAAAGCGTGTATCTCCAAAGACGAGTTGGGCTGCATAACGAAACGAGGAAATTTTAGATGATTGACCGCTGACATCTGCTTCATGTGCTCCAGCCATGAGGAGTGCAAAGATTGCGGAAGCGACTCGTCCCAATCCAGTTTGTCTTTCCAAAGAATTTGCAGAAATATTTTTAACTTGGTAACAATCGGTGCTATCAATCCGAGAGGGTCGTAGAACTTGGCAACGGCCGATAAAATCGATCTTTTCGTTGCACCGCTTTCTGTCATAGTTCCAGACAATGAGAAAAGCAAGTGATCCGATTTTGCATCCCAATATAAGCCGAGTGCTTTGAGGACATCAGTTCCATCATGAAACCTTAGCGTTTTCTCGCGATCAATTTCTGGCTCGCCTTCTAAAGCTGCTGCCTCGTTTGAACACCATTTTCGAATTGGAAAATGGCCCTTGGATAGCAATTCCTTCACCTGCTCACGAATTTGAGCTGCCTCCTCGACCGAGCCACCTCCAGAAATGAGATCGTCCACATAAAAGTCTCGGCGAACTATTTTGGCTGCCAACGGGAACTCAGCTTCCTCATCATAGGATAGCTGCTGCATAGCACGAATTGCCAGAAATGCAGCCGGCTTAGTGCCGTAGGTGACCGTATCGAGCGTATAAGCCTTGACTTGCTGATTTGGATTGTCACGCCATAAGATAGACTGCAAATAGTTATCAGGGCTAGTGACACGGACACATCGATACATTTTGCAGATGTCCCCGCATAATGCAACTTTGAAAAATCGAAAATGAAGCAGTGTGTTAAAGATTTTGGGCTGTATTGAGGGACCTGCAAACAACAAATCATTTAACGAGTATCCCGAGGTCGTTTTGGCTGAGCCATCGAATACAACGCGCAGCTTTGTGGTTGTACTATCTGGCTTCTGCACACAATGATGAGGCAAGTAATATCGCGAGGTTACTGACTGCTCAGAAGCAAGTGACATATGTTGTAGGTCGATGTATTCCTTGATGAATGCAGCGTATTGCGACTTCAATTTCACATCCTTGAGCAATTTGCCCTCTAGCGTCTTAAATCGACGTTAGGCACGACCGTATGAATCTCCGAGCATGTCGAAACTGGCTTTGGCAGGCAAACGAACCGAGTATTGCCCTGAACTGAGTCGAGAAAAGGTGTTCTGGAATAGCTGCTCGCACAATACATCTTCATCAGTTGCGACAATTGGAGATCCACAGTAGCTGTCGATTTCCCAAAACCGCTTGACAATGCCTGGCAAGGAATCGGTTTCCGATTGGATGACGGGCTCAGTGGTCACTGCAAGTGCTGAATGCTTCAAGTTTGAGAACGAAATCCCTCCAGATGCGATCCAGCCAAGACGCGTTTTTTGCAAAATGGGCAGGTTTTCGGCTAATCGCATTTGCCCGACGCAAAGCAATTCGTAAAAAATGCCAGCTCCTATCAACAAATCGATACGCTGACTATTGTAGAACCACGGATCAGCAAGAACAAGATTCGGTGGTATGTTCCACCCTAGGGCGTTTAAATCGAAATGAGGCTGATAATCTGTAATTTTGCCACTAATTACTGCTGTCAGTGCTGTACGATATTTTTTATCCCTAGAGTGCGCTTCGAGATCGACGGTTGCGTTTGATGAAAGTGATGATTCACCAACTCCAGAGATAGATGTGTTTGTTTGACGAGTAGTGAGTTGCAACTGCTTAACAAAACGAGAAGTGACGATGTTGATTTGAGCGCAAGAATCTAACAAGGCTCTGCAGGGAACAAATGCACCGGATCGATTTCTGATGTATACGATGGCAGTGGCAAGCAGCACATAATCGGTCTTACTATCTGACGAGACAACAGGTGGAGCTTCAGAGAATGATGATGATAAGAGCGAAACGACATTTAGACTGTTAGTAGTGGTAGTTGGAGGAGAGGGTACGGCGATGGCATTAGAATCGATGTGAAGCAACGAATGATGCTTCGAATGGCAGCGTTTGCAAGAACCAGACTTGCACTGTTGCATACCATGGCCTTTGCGCAAACAATTAAGACACAAGTGCAGCCTTTTAGCCTCCTTATATCGCAAGGTGGGACTGAGGTTTAGAAACTGAGCGCATTTAGAAATGAAGTGATCTCTACTTTCACACATGCTACATGATGAGGTGTTTAGTGATGATGCTACGAGTGCGTTATGAATGTTTTTGTTAGTGTTTGGTTTTCCCACCTGCTTGCTAGGTGTCGGGATTACCATAGCATTTTCAAGATTCTCCAACATGCGGCACCTCTTTTCCAGGAATGTAGCCATATCCTTCCACTTCAGCAGCTTGTTTGCCTGCAGACCCTCTTCCCATTTCTCTCGAGTGTGGCGATCCAACTTCGAAGCTACCAGATAGATCAGAAGACCGTCCATGATCTCCTGTGTCGTTGCCATGGTATTCAGCGCACGCAGATGCGAATTCATCTGGTCGCTTAATCGTCGTAAGCTTGCTGCCGATCCTTGCTCCACACCTGAAATCCCGCAGAATGACCGTATGTGTGCCTGAAAATGCAAAAGTTTGTTATCAAATCTCGAAACTAGTAATTCGATAGCTTTCTCATAGTTAGCTTCCGTGGGCTCCAGTGAACGAATTGTGTCCAACGCTGTGCCATCCAAGCAGGACCGAAGATGCTGGAACTTTTCCACGTTGCTCAGGTCATCATTATTGCCCACAATGGTGTTGTACATTGCGTAGAAATCAGGCCAATCGATATAGGCACCGCTGAACCTTGGCAACTTGAATTCTGGGAGTCTTGTCGCACGCGCAGCGGGTCTCGAATCACCACCGACATGTGGAAGGGCTGTAGAATTCACGACTGAAAATCTACGCTGCTTGCCAAGCTCACGCGAAATTTGCGATTTTACCGCGAGGTAGATGTTTGCGAACTTTGACCGAGCGTCACTGTACAACTCCTGCAAATCTAACCTTTCGACCGCGGTTTGACTTTTATCAAAGTCCACTTGCATTTGATCGACAAAATCAAGTCGCACTTGAAGATCAGTCACGTCGAAGTTGACCTCCTCATCTGACTCCATGTAGCTTTTTAAAGCTTCTACCTGTCTTAAGGTAGCATCAGCCTTTGCTTTATGAAAGTCCAAGTCACTTGGTACCGCCGCGGATCTTGCACCAACCGAATCACTTTCAGCCATCATTTTCAAAAAGAGTATACGAAAGTCACTATCACTTTAAGCTGCCGATGCAACTGCACGAATTTGAATGCAAGAGACGAAATGTCGACGAAAATGCAACGGAACAAATTCGTAAGCGTTCACTGACCTCGCTTAACACGGCTTATACACTAGTCGGCATATATATTTTGACAAAATAAAAGTGAAATATACTCGAAACCTGAACTTGCTTCTTTTAACTTTTGGTATCAATGGAAAGG